TATATATATATATATATATATATATATATATATATATATATATATATATATATATACGCGCACAGATTTGTGTATAAACGAAGACTTCGAAAATCATACTTTTTCATTCTGCGAACAAACAAGTGAAACCGTAGATAAACTACCGCTAGTTTGGCGAAGGAAGTGAAAATTTAAGAGCAGTAACGGGAATCGGCTCTAAGTATGAATAAACTGATATTGGGCTGTTTTCGGAAACATTCAAATTAGAAACCGGATTGGAATATTTCGATACCTGTATGCGCTAGTGCTAATAAAACGAGAGCATGTGATATTAACGACAAGGAATGCTGATAATAATCACAATACTAATCATGACACTAACAATAGAGAATGATAATGCCAACGAAAAAGTAGTAGACGACGCAAAGTCAAATTTATTGGATTCGAACGAAAGATAACAATGGTAGTGAGTATGATGAGCAGTATTCGTGATGATGGCAATCATGACATAGCGTGAATGGTTCAGATTATAATTTTAATTCGTTTTCGAATTGGAATTTTATTTGAATACGGCACACGTTCATATTCAGGAATAAATTGGGAAAGAAGAACATTAAAATTAAAATAGGCAAACAACTACAGTCATGACGCACACATCAACAATCATAACCATAGCAAAAATACGACTGCAGATTGTTGACGATCAATAAATAAATTTTCAAAAGTATTATGCCGATGTGTTTTAGAATGACATTCAGGAATGAAAACCAAACTGAAGTAGAATATGGCAAAACGGAATCTAATAACAATACAACCAACAGATTGAGATCAGCAAAGAAACCGGAACATAATATTACGCGATTTCAATGCGTGAATAATGTCGTTGATGATGATGCTCTAGTTGCTCATATTAGGATTCTACTTGGTCTCTATTATTAAAGAATCCCATTGTGTGAATAAAAATTTGCAGAAATGGATTGTCGCTACGAGAGATGAAACCGAAATCCTCCCCACAATCACGAAGCGTTCAGCTCAATTCTCAGAAAAGAACAGACCCATCGAATCAGTTCACAGCTGTTGATAGTGGTAACAAGGAAAACTCATTCAAATAAATACCATTCTTCCTAAAAATTGAAAGTGCAATAACAGTGCTAACAGCGGCAACGTGACTGACAAGATTTCAAAAATAATGATTGAGAAACAATACATGAATCAACTTCAACAATTATCTGAGAGCTATAACTACAAACCTTGTCGGGCGATTTCGCTTAGCTGAGGAGCTATAGCTATTTTATTAAAGCTATCCCAACTGGCGCCGAGGTGCTCACTGTTATGCATTTGATCACAATAGATCAATGCATATTATACATTACGATAGAAATATAGGTTTGATACATTCAAGCCTACGGTCATCTTAAGTTGGCCCGGAAACATATTGATGTTTGTACGTCATTCGATTGAGCAGAATCTCTTCTTTCTAAAAATGAAAGGTTTGTTTAGAAATTCCCACTCTCCGAGGAAATATAGCAATTTTTTGATGCTAAACGGGTTAGCACATTCAAGCCTACTGTACCCTCAGCTTTGACGAGTAACGTATCAATTTCTTTACACCAGTTGATCGAGCAGAATCTCTGGATTCGGAAATATATTTATTTTGTCGAGCGATTTTGCTTTGTTGAGGAGTTCTAGCTATTTTATTAAAGTTGTCTCAACTAGCGCTGAGGTGCTCATCGATATGGGTTTGATCACTGTAGATCAATTCATATTACACATTACTATAGAAATATAAGTTTGATACATTCATGCCGACCATCTTCTCAGGTTTGTCCGGAAACATATTTATGTTTATACATCATTCCATAAAAAAGGATCTCTTCCTTCTAGGAATGAAAAGTAGGCAGAGAAATTTTCAGTCTACGAGGAAATATAGCAATTTTTGTGATGCTAGACGGGTTAGCACATTCAAGCCTACAGTACCCTCAGCTTTGACCAGTAACGTATCAATTTCTTTACACCAATTGATCGAGCAGAATCTCCGGATTCAGAAATATATATATTTTGTTGAGCGATTTTGCTTCGTTGAGGAGTTCTAGCTATTTTATTAAAGTTGTCTCAACTAGCGCTGAGGTGCTCATTTTTATTCTTATGCTCACTATAGATCAATGGATGCAATGCAATAGTATAGAAATTTAAGTTTGATACATTCAAGCCACCCGTCTTCTCAGGTTTGCCCGGAAACATATTGCTTTTTATACATCATTCGATTGAAAAGAATCTCTTCTTTCTAAAAATGAAAAGTTTGCTTAGAAATTCCCACTCTCCGAGGAGATATAGCAATTTTTGTGATGCTATACAGGTTAGCACATTCAAGCCTACAGTATCCTCAGCTTTGATCAGTAACATATCAATTTCTTCACACCAATCGATCGAGCAGAATCTCTGGATTGAGAAATATATATATCTTGTCGAGCGATTTTGCTTCGTTGAGGAGTTCTAGCTATT